GCGCGCCCCGCCCGGGGCGGGGGGGCCCCCCCCGCCCCTCCAGCCCCTCAGCGGCTTTGCAAAGCCTCGGGGGAAGCCGGTGGCGGGGCATCCCAGGCGCGCCGGGGCTGTCCCGCTGCCAGGGCATCCTCAGAGGCTTTGCTCCCGGTGTCCCTGGTCTGCTGGAGACGGTCCCCAGCAGACCAGAGGCACCGGGAGCAAAGCTGAAGCGGCGGCGGGGTGCCGCGCTTCTGAGGCTTTGCTCTGGCCCAGTCGCCTTATACGCCGGAAAATACGGTAATTAAAATAAAAATTATCCAACTAAATTAAGTTTCTATCAAATTTACCCAATTCACATTTAATATGAAAAATAGGCTTCAATTTGCGCATTTGACGCCTTTTTTCTATTTTGTCTCCAAAGGGGAGACCTGCAAAATTGTGCTGCCCTGGGCCCCGCAAAACGTTCATCCGCCCCTGGGTGCCATGGCCATGGAGCCTCATGGCTCCCATTGGCTCCAGTTCGCGGCTTCCCACAGCTCCCCTTGGCTGCAAACGGAGAACTAGAGCTAATGGAAGCCATGAGGTTTCTTGGTTGCAGCACTGGTAAATAAACAAATGGGCACAGCCAGTTAGCATGCGTCTCAAAGTTTTGCAGACCACTGTGAGAAACACTGATTTAGCGAAATCCTCCTTTCACACAATGAGCATTTAAAAACTCTTGCAATTATCTGACAAGCCCGCCTGTGCCTCCAGTAGTAATCCATTATTTTAACATTTTAAAAATATTCCAATAAAATATTTGTCATAAATTTGTAATTCAAATCCTGAACACAGGCTGCAATTTTGCCAGATCTCACAACTCAGTAGTGTCTGAAATTGGTCAAAATACTCAGGATGTGAGACCTTCAAAGTTGACATTGCAGGGGATTGTGTTGGTGATTGAATAAGCAATATTCTTCCTCTTGAATTACTAGAGAACCACTCCCCCCGTGCTTGCTGTAAGGCACTGTGCTATTGGAAGTGGCATTTTCTGAAAGAAACAGATGCAGGGTTAGGATCCCTTATTAGGGTACGTCTAAACTACATGGCTCCGTCAACAGAGCCATGAATTTTAGTTTACTCGAAAAGGGGGAAATGAAGCGGCAATTTAAATAATTGCTGCTTCATTTAAATCAAAATGGCTGCCGCGCTGTGCCGACAATCAGCTGATCGGCACAGCGCGGCAGCCATTTTGATTTAAATGAAGCGGGGATTATTTAAATTGCTGCTTCATTTAAATCAAAATGGCTGCCGCGCTGTGCCGACAATCAGCTGATCGGCACAGCGCGGCAGCCATTTTGATTTAAATGAAGCGGGGATTATTTAAATTGCTGCTTCATTTAAATCAAAATGGCTGCCGCGCTGTGCCGACAATCAGCTGATCGGCACAGCGCGGCAGCCATTTTGATTTAAATGAAGCGGGGATTATTTAAATTGCTGCTTCATTTCCCTTTGCCATCCTGCCTAATCTACTGCCTCCATTGATGGAGCCATGTAGTTTAGACACACCCATAGTGATTAAGAAATCTATCTTGGTTTTCAGAGGAAAAGAGGTGTTAGTACAGGAGTAGTGACCAAAGTTCTCTCTAATCTTTTCCATCCCCGTGCAAAATACATTTTGTGATGTGCACGAAGGCATGAATGTGTACCATCCGGAGAAACACAAACATAGCTGTGGGTGCTCTGCAAATCGTCGGAGCATCACTGGACTCTCCTGAGTGGCTGCACAAATGTATAGCTTACAGGGAACACTGGTAATGACCAAATTCTAATATGAACAATTATCTTCCCTGAATTTCCCTTGTACTTCCAACAGGACACAATATTCTAATATTCCTAAACTTGGAGTATTGATGAGGGGGCTGCTTTTTAAAAGGGGGGAATTATTCCTGTGTTTCAGAGTAGACTATATACTTTTGTATAAAATACCATTATTAAAATGTTGACGGGGCAATCATAACAAATAATACTAATAACTCTTTTATTAAAACACTAATTTCTCTACTTCACAAACTATATATGAGGATCATAGTGTTTTTTCCACATCCCACTTCTTTCAGAAGGAGGATGAAGAATGTTATCTGAACACAAATGCCACACGGAAATACTTGAAGGAGACGAAGACATTCGCTTGCCCAGGGGATGATGCCAAAATGCCTGACACTGGCTTCACCCTTACCCCACTCCAGGCAAGCACCTTAAATTGTTCAAAGTCTCCACCTATTAAAGTATAGAAGCAAGGGGACTCTCACCATATAAGTTCCAATCCACTTGTGCTTCCTATTTCATGCCTACTGATCTCCTTTAGCCAATAACTGCATCCTTTCACACTAAAGGGAAGAGGTGATGAGCTGACTCAAGGACATTTGGCTTTACAAAACATAGGCGCCACTTCAAAAGTGCACAATATATTGCTGCTAAATTAAAACATTGTGTGGGCTATTTTTGCCTATTTAGTTTTTTGACTACATTTGCATTCAAAATTAAACACAAAACATTTAAAAATGACAGCATGCCAAACTTAGGGCTGGTGGCATATGCCTGCAGATGCTAGATAACATAAGAGCATAAAAATGAACATACTGGGTCAGACCAAAAGTCCATCTTGCCCAGCGTCCTGTCTTCCAACAGTGGCCAATGCCAATGTCCCAGAGGGAATGAACAGAACAGGGAATCATCAAGTGATCCTTCTCCTGTCATCCATTTCCAGCCTCTAACAAACACCATTCCTAGTCATCCTGGCTAATAGCCATTGATGGACCTAACCTCCCTGAATGTATCTAGCTCTTTTTTAAACTCTGTTAAAATCCTGGTCTTCATAACCTCCATGTTGACTGGCAAGACACTATCCAGTAGATAAGTTGATAAGTAGACACTATCCAGTAGATAAGTACTCTCTATTTTACCAGCTAATAATTTTCCTGTGGAATCAAAGACTTATTAATTCAAGTCCAGATACAGAGTCTAAGTCTTGAAAATTATGGTAATAGACAACCTCATTTTTATTACTTCAAAATAAAAAATAAAATGAGGAAAAAATTAATTGTCTTCAAAGATCACCTGATAATTTCTTGAATTACTGAAGCTATGGAAAACGCAAAGCAGCAAATTGGACTCAGGATTATGATTTTTGGGGGAAAAAGCCAAGAAATGATCTGTTTTGTTGGCCAAGTGAGAGGGGTTGCTTAACAGATATAATAAAAATAAATGATGAATGTCAGTGGGCATAGCACTGCTAGGCTGCTTTCCTGCTCTTGCTGACCCCTGTTGAATGCAACAATGAAAGCATGATGGAGCTCTCTGACATCATTGAGGGGAATGTTTCATGCCCTAATACACTGAATCTCCTTCAATTATAAGTGTGGCAGCTTTGGTATTTGGGTGCAGTACCTCTATCCCTGAGACTTACTTCGTAATACTGAGCAGATCAGTTGAAAATACCATACATTGAAACTTCAGAAAACAAAGGCCACCTCATCAGCCAGCTCCCACCAATGCAACAAGACCTTCTCTTACTCAAAAAAGATACTACTATTAAATTTGGCAATTAAACTTGATTTTTTTTCAGACTGAGAGCAACCTTTATTACAAGTATTTTAACAGACTCTTTGTTTCTCTGGGAAAGTCCATTATATAGTGCTATGGTTAAAGCACTGTATTAAGTTATTCGTGAAAAATAAATATTTTTCTTTTCTTTACAATTTCCTAAAGCAGTAAGAAAATGGCCATGAATACAACTGAAGATTTTGCCAACGTAACTGTGTTGCAAAACCATGCTGCTGCTTTCACAAACTGTACCGATGTAGACGTCCTTCTGAAGAATTTTTATCTTCCTTTTATGTACAGCATTATCTTTCTGGTGGGCTTCCCAGGGAATATTATTGCAATTTCTGTATACACTTTCAAAATGAGGCCCTGGAAGAGCAGCACCATCATTATGCTGAATTTGGCCTTCACAGACCTACTGTATTTAACAAGCCTTCCTTTCTTGGTACATTACTATGCCAGTGGAGAACACTGGATCTTTGGAGACTTCATGTGTAAGTTTATCCGTTTTGGTTTCCACTTCAACTTGTACAGCAGCATCCTCTTCCTCACTTGCTTCAGCATCTTTCGCTACTTCGTGATTGTCCATCCGATGAAATTCTTCTCTGTGCAGAAAAAGAGATGGGCAGTGGTGGCTTGTGCTGCTGTTTGGGTGATTTCCTTGGTGGCCGTCAGTCCTGTCAACCTTTTGATCACCTCGAAACAGGAAGAAAACCAATCCGTTTGCCTGGACCTTACTAGTTCTGAAAACCTGGACACTATTAGGTGGTATATCTGGCTTCTGTCTGGGTTACTCTTCTACCTGCCATTAGTAGTTGTGACTCTGTGTTACACGGTCATTATTTACACTTTGGCTAGAGGGCCTCATACTCATGCTTGTTATAAACAGAAAGCTCGCAGACTTGCCATTCTCCTCTTGGTGGTTTTTTATGTGTGCTTTCTACCCTTTCATGTCTTGAGGGGAGTTCGGGTAGAATTAAGACTTCAACCAATTAGCTGCCAGATGGAAAATCAAATCCATGCAGCTTACATTGTCTCTAGACCATTGGCTGCACTGAACACATGTGGTAACCTCTTACTTTATGTTGCAATGGGAGACAACTTCCAGCAGGCCATCCTTTCTCTTTCTAGATGCAAGTTAAGCAACTATGTGCAGCACACTGGGAGCAACAGTGATGTCAATAAGTCTGGAATTAATTAAAATTACAAAGTCATCCTTTTGCACTTGTCTTTAGTATTCAGTTTTATTTGTTTCCGAATAAAATTGCAAATGGCTTCTCTACCCTCCAAAACTGCTGAGTTTTAGGATGAGGCTATATGTATGTCCTTGTTCCTGGGTGACTTGTATTAGTTTTAAATTAAAGTTTTTTAATTTAAACGAGAACCTGCCACCCTGCCCTCCCCAGGCAAATGCCCTGTTCCCTAGGCCATGGTGGAAAATGCCCCACCACCTTACTTTCAGTTGAGTTAATACTTCATTCAATATGGATTTGCCAACAGCATATTTTAAACATGATGGGTACCTCATTTTTGACCTCACAACACGAGTACAACTTGCATTGACTTCAATGTTATCATTGATACAGTATTTAATTGAATAGTCTGTGCCAAATGAAGCAGACAATGACTACTGAAATGTTGAGTTATAAACACGGTATATTATTTTGTCAAGCATTTAATAAAACAATATAAAAACTAGTATGTTCTAAGGAGTGCCATTTCTTAATTAAGTAAGTAATAGAACTACACTAAAATTTTGATATATATTGCGGATGTTGAAATCTACAGTTCTGAATATATTTTAAACGTTAAAGCATCAAACACTGATAATATTTTGCAAGCACTACTGAAACCATTTAAGGTGTTCATTATTTTATATTGCCTATTTTTGTTATAGGTGGTTTTTTATTAAAGTGTGGACTTTGCTTAGTAGCCACTAGGTGGCAGTCACGCATGGTGTATGTCACTGAGCCAGATACCTGGCTTCAACCATGCACCTTTGATTCAAACTCAGAGATGGCTACATAACAATGTAGTGTGATTATTGTGGGGGAACAAAACATCCCATGTTTCTTATGGTGCAAACCCACAATTAATTCTAATTAATAAGATCTGAGTTGTGCTACATAATGGCTTTACAATACTTTGCATATGTGACCTTGGTCAATGTACAATTATACTGCTCCAGCTTTCAAGCACAGACCAGCTCCAAAGTGTTTCACTCTTGTTTCCCTAGTAGTCTAATCAGGCTGTCAGCACATTATTAGCAGTTGTTAAATTCAACTTACTTTGCACAACCCCCAAGTCTTAAATTCCCAGTGTGAATCAGCTTGAAAGCTGGAGCAGCAGTATGTCAATTACAGGTATCAGGTTTCAGAAAAAAAAACGTTAAAAAAAAAAGACTAGTAACACTTAAAGACTAACAAAACATGTAGATGATATCATGAGCTTTCATGTGCGCAACCTATGTCTTCAGCTGACTGGAGTATTAGAATATTTTATTCTTGGATCTGGACTTCTAATACTCCAGTTATCTGAAGAAGTGGATTGGGCCCACAAAAGTTCATGATACCATCTACATGTTTTGTTAATCTTTAAGGTACTATTAGTCTATTTGTTTTTCCTGTTATAGACTAACTCGGCTACCCCTCTGAGGGTTTCAGAGAGGTAGCCATGTTAGTCTGTTTCAGCAAAAACAACAAGGGGTCCAGTGGCACTTTAAAGACTTAGGTAGCATCTACACCGCACCGTGATTTTGGAATAACTAACATTATTCCAAAAAAATGTGGACATCTACACAGCAATTCCATTATTTCAAAATAACATCAAAATAATGGGTGGCTTATTCCGACTTCTGTAATGTAAACCTCATTCCGTGAGGAATAACTCTTCTTCCAAAATAGCTATTTCGAAATAGCTGCAGTGTGGATGCTCCAATGCTGCCATTTTGAAATAGCTCCTCGCCAGGGCGATTCTAAGTAATTTCTCTCCAGAGCTTCCTGGGGCTCTAAATCAAGATAGCGCGTCAACATTAGGGGAGCCTGCCTCAGACTAATTCTGAGGCTTCCCTGCAGTGTGGACGCTGTATTTCGAAATAAGATATTTCAGAATATATCTTCTGGAATAACTTACTCCAAAATAAGTATGCGTGTAGACATACACTAACACATTGTTTGCTGACATGGGTGTACAGGCAGTCCCCGGGTTACGTACAAGATAGGGACTGTAGGTTTGTTCTTAAGTTGAATTTGTATGTAAGTCGGAACTGACGTCCAGATTCAGCCGCTGTTGAAACTGACCAACGGCTGACTACAGGAAGCCCAAGGCAGAGCTGCTCTGCCCCGCGCTTCCTGGAATCAGCCGCTGAACAGTTTCAACAAG